ACCCACTCCACTATAACATAGTGGAGGAACCACTACTTATTCACAATTTATCTAGTGGGTGATTATGATTTTTCTCTTTGAATGTAAATTAAGAATGAGTGCAATTATGGGTCCGATGAATGTCAAATTTAGAATGTATCAAACTCACCTACTTAATAATCAACGATTCAGACCTAAAAGCTGTACCCCCTCAGCCTACCCCCCTCTCATCGACGCTGCTCTTCGGTCCTCCTCTCTCTCCTATCCTCTCTTTATAGTAGTATAACTATAGTATAATATATATATATATTAATATATAGTATATATAGAGAGAAGAGAGAGAGAAGAGGAGAAAACTTATGTCAACGATTAAGGACCTCCACTAGTTCTACATTATGAATCACTTGATAGCTAGCATTGGGATGCACTGCTCCGTTAAACTGATCACATATTCTAAAACACAGTAGCACACCAAATTTGCGGATGAACCCGTTCTGATTTTGACCAGCGTTACCTGTCGACATAGTAAAAAGTTCTATCATTCAAAAAAACCGGGAAAATAAAAAAGAGATACGGATAAGGTCAATACTTACGACGGGTTCACCCACCAGCGCATTTGGTGTTTCGAATTTAACAGGTATATAGATCAAAGTTCAACAAGCGGAGCATCCACAATGTAGACTTATCAAGTGATCATCAATGACTAAAAGAAACTTAGTTGGGACGGTCCACTATAGTTGACATACGAGTTTTTCGTAATATATATATATACTATAGTATATATAGAATATATAGTAGTATAAGGGTATAGATATATCATATAGTATATAAATATATATATATAATATATATTAATATAATATAATATATATATATATAATATAATAATACTTCTGTTTAAAAAGCACGAGTTCAGAAAAATCTTTTGGTAGACAAAAATACTCTTAAAATTTAAATGTTTTGATCCATTAAGTAAGAGTAAATTGATAAATTGATGAATTCTTATTGGATAATATGAAGATAAAAATACAGTTTAAATTAAAATATAAATCTAAATAAAATTATTGAATACCAAATTTACAAATGTCTACAAAATAAAGAGCGTATATGTAAAAACCAAATAAATTAATAAGACAAATAATTTCTACCCCAAAGTTAAAACCCAGGAACAACGTAGACCTATAAATATACATAATGTGGATGTGATATTTACAAAATCCACCAAAAAAATTAAAGAGACAAAAGTCAATCTCAAAATTACAAAAAATAAAAATTAAGGAAAATAAAAATCATACTCCCTTTAAAAGCACGAGTTCGGGAAAAGTTTTCCATAGTTAAAATTACCCTGTACTATTTTAAATATTTAATTTAAATTATAATCTATCCTAATCATACTTGTATCCTATCCTATTACCCCCATCAACTATCTATACCTCAATAATTTAAATAAGATTAATAAAATATATGAAACAACTCAGTAGTATTAGTTTATGACATGAAGCATTACAAAAAAGTAAAAAGTTTTAAAAATTAGACAAAATACTCTTAAATGTTTAAAATTACACAAAATAAAAAGCTAAAAATTTAGAACTTGGCAAAAAAAGAGTATTATGTGATATTCTTTCATTAAGATATATAAATATAACTTATTATTTAAGGTTTACTATGCCTTTTCAAAATTTAAAAGTAGTTAAGTTGATATTGGTAAAAAATAGTAATAATAACAGATTAAAATATCCAGTTAAAGAATAAAATTTAAAAAATACATATGATAGATGAAAAATTAATGTTATTGAATAAATTAATGTAATTGTATATAATTTTACCTATATGTTAGAGCAGGAAAAATACATAATTATCATTAATTAATAGAAGACTAAATCATAAAAAGCTAATAAATGACTATAATATAATAGCTTAACATTAATTGATTATAATTTATAAATATTGATCTCTAATGGTAATAATATTTATAGGGTAAAAAATTATAAAGATTTATGTATGGAGAACTATTAGAAAGTTTAGAGATATTATTCAAAAGAATTAAGAGATTTTCATTTCAAATAGATTTCAAAACCTCCATGAATCAGTTCAATTAACACTAACATAAGTTATATTTATCAAAGAAACACCGACTAAATAACCATTGAAGAATATATTGAACAACTTTGTTTCAATCAAAGAAATATTCTTCATGGAAGATAAAAAAATTACTATGTCATCACTCTTCGTAAGCAAAAATTATAAAATCGTCCTTTTTCTTTTTCTTATATAGTATCACAACCCTGCGTGTGACTTTATTTAGGGATATGACTATTAACAAATGATCAATTCTTAAAGACTCGATCAAGATATAATAACACTATTAAAATTCAATATCTCTAAATATGAAGGTATTATATTTTATTACTAAAACTCTTATTAAAGGCCACTAAATATAAAATTCATCTTATATCTATCTCAAATTTATAGAGAAGATATGCATGTCATCGTAAATTGCGTGAATAATATATATCAATCCAAAGATACAACTTACTAAAGAAATAAGAGAATAGTAAGTAAACCAAGTAAACATCCATATAACACCGTAAAGGAAAAATATTATATTTTAAAGCTAATGTACAACGCTCTTTTAGAGTAAGCTGCCAAGACAAAAGCATCCCCATTAAGACTCTTTATAAATGTAGGAGAGATTCAAATTACTAATATATATAACCATTATAATATTCGAAAGATGTATGATCTTAGAAAACATACTCTAAAATTCATACAATTAAATCTAAGAATAATTTATCAATATACAGACACACTATTATACCTTTAAGGCAACGATAACTACTATTTATAATAGAGTTGAGTAGTAGTTCTATGTTTACAAAGGCTGCAATAAAAAAGTGAAAAGAGATGTTAATAATAAGTGTCCAAATGATAAATGTTGAAGAATCGTCGATGATGTTGTACCAAGGTTAAGTAATATCCCTTCTTCATGAAATAAATATATCAAAATTAAATATTAATATTATAATCTAAAGCAAATTGACAATGAAAAATGTAAGGTATTTAGTTCAGATTCTCATGGAAAATGATACAGAAAGAGCAAAGGTAACATTATGACACATCAGAAATTCTTATTGGATGCACAATAGAATAATTCATTGCAAAGAAAAAAAGGTAGCTCCTAACCTTATTTAAGTAGTAAATTAAAAGCATAAAAAATTTTATATATATGAAATTAACATTTATTCTTATTAAAATAGGGAAAAAATCAAAATCTGTATTAACAAAATTTTGTGTTGAACATAAGAAATATATTCAACTTCTTTGTGAATTTAGATGAGAAGACAAAAGATGAATGAGCCAAAGGAAAGATAACATGCTCCAGTCTCATATCACAATCGATGTAGATGATGAAGACACTACTCTAGAGTTGCTCAGAAAAAAGATAAAGATGAAGAATGATTGATCTCGACTCAATAAAAAATAAAATAGAAGCAACAAACGATAATGTTTTGTGAATCGTTATAGAATAGTTTTATTTTTTTAGTAAAATTAGGAATCTTTCAAAGGAATTTTCATAAACTATTTTTAGTTCTTTCATATGCATATGTGGATGCTTTTATCTTATAAAAGTGTACTAGAGTTAACATTAATCTTCAGTTTTTGATTTTTTATTAACTATTTTCTGACATTTTAGCCCACTTTAAATCAATCATCCTAGCTTGTTGGCTTTATTATTCATCTTCCTTTTATAATGTTATTTTTTCAAGTGTTTTCACTTTCATAACACTATACTTTCTCATGTCAAGCTCGGTTTCATGCCGATTCAAATGAAATAAAAATTTAAATTGGTTTTAGATTATATTTATCTCATGACAATTCAACTATCAACAAAAAAAATTTAAACTGAGTGTAGCCTATTCAATAAAACATCAAATAAATAAATAATCAAAATATAATTGAGGAACAAATTTTAGTAAAAAAATAAACTAAAAATACTTAATCAAATTGAGCAAAAATTATCAAAGAGTAACCAAGGAACAAATTTTAGTAAGAAAATAAACTAAAATACCTAATCACAGTATTTAACCACGTGCATTGCACGTGCATAAAAATCTAGTGTGTGCGTGTGTGTGTGTGTGTGTGTGTGTGTGTGTGTGTGTGTGTATATATATATGTGTGTGTGTGTGTGTGTGTGTGTATATATATATATATATATATATATATATGAGATTAATGGGTATCATTATCATAGGAGGGGATTTCCTCCTTGACGCCTCTAAAATCACATGATTGAGCGACATTGTGGATGATCCACTCCGTTGAACTTGATCTACATATTCTAAAACTCCAACACATCAAGTTTGGGGTAAACCCGTCGTCGTTTGACCCTTCATCCACTCGTATCAATTTTAACGGTTTTGAATAAATAGAACTTTTCACATGGCTCGATGGAGGGTCAAACGACGACGGATTCACCCCAAACTTGGTGTGTTGGGGTTTTAGAATCGAAGCAGTTGATCCATTCCTTAATTTGTTCAGTGTTGGCAGCAGGACTTAGCATCAAGTTCTATTCATTGGGAGTCAATTTAAGATTGAGATTTATCGGGATTTACTCCTGAATCTTCTTTAGATTTTTGAGCTGAACATTTCTTGTTAGATTTGTTGGAATCTGATACCGTTCGAGAATATAAGACTTAGCTCGCGATTCTGGCCATGGGCTAGTGGATCCTCCTCAAATATGTCAAAATGAGGCTTTAAATAAGCAATTAGGTGGGTCCCTATAAACCTGGCATCATTAATTAGCCATTAATTATCTAGAGGAGATCCTGATCAATTGACCATTCTAAGTCGCTTCTTTTGGGCTGGTTTTGACCAATAATTACTCAAAATTTATCACTATACCCAGTCTCCCACTTGACCGTCAAACTCAGCAAAAGGTATAAATCCTCTCTCTCTCTCTCTCCTAAAATCAATTGGAAATATCAAGTAGCAAGCACAGATATTACAATTCATTTAAAAATATGTCGAGTGAAGGAACTCAGCCAACGAAGGTGACGATCATCGAAACTCAGTTTGTGGAAGCGGACGCATCTCAGTTCAAAATGGTAGTCCAGAAATTCACAGGGAAGGATTCGGTTATGTCGAGCCAAGGAGCGAGCTGCCATGGCCGAGAAAATACGCAAAGTAATAGAAGGAAGAGAAATTTGCGGGCGGAGGCTCAGCCGATGGCTGTTGGAGGAGAGGTCGATGCGTTCATGGTGGAGTTGTTGCCATCAATGGAGGAGTTGTATGAGTTTTTAAGAGACTGATTAGGTTTTGATGGTATTAATTAGTGCAGGTCTGATCCATCTAATTATGTCCTCTTACTAATTTCGCGAATGAACTTTTAATGTGTTAGCATCGGGATGTGGATTAGATTGCGGCAGCAATATATATATGTGGTATTATGGAAAATGACCAAATGGCACTTTGATGCCCTATTGTTTCATCAGCCTTACAATTCCTAAATTGTAAAATAATAACACTTTAATAAGTTATAAAAAATTAGCATATTAGTATATTTTGTTAGTTTTCATAGGAATGTTCTTAGAAAATTATTTTGGTAACTAATAATAAGTATTAAAGTGCTACCTTCTTATAACTTAGGGTAATAAAGTGTCACTATAACAAAAGTTATAAATTATGATACATCGTTTTGTCTTCATACAACACAGTTTTGTGTCGCACTAAGAAAGTGCGACACATAACAATAGTCTGTGTAAAGCATATTGGAGAGCGTCTTTCTACGCATGTAAAAAATATATCGTAAAAATTGTAATACATACATATATCTTAAACTTTATCGTAAAACTCACGACACATATATATGTAGAGAGTGGTGACACAGTTATTTCTAAACCATAAAATATAAAAAGGTATCATTATTCAACACTACAACTTCCCAAAAAGTCATTTATCCTAGAATTACTCTCAACAAAGTACATTTAACTATGGAGTTATTTAGCTTATACACTATCATAAATTTTCAATTATCAATATACTTAAAATCTAAGATTTGTTATTATTTAAGCCTATCAGTAAAATTTCACACAATTTATGTGAGACTATTAGACTTTTTTCACTTTTATTTTATTGTATATCTAATAACACAAAAATGTATCGTGATTTGCTATACTTTTTATTTTTGTCACTGTTGTATGATCCTTTACAAATAAAATGACACTTATATATGTGTTATAAATAAGTATGGACACATGTAATTTTTATTGTAGCGTGTTACTTTTTTACAATTTAGGATGTTAAAATACTATTTTTGTTAGTTTCGGGAGTGTAGACCCAAACATGAAACAAAATCACAAGCTGAAAAACCCCCAAATCGGTCGACAGAAGGGAACATCAGTTGACCGATTCGAACGCCAGAAAAACATGAAAGTTTCTGTTCGGTCGATCGATACGAATTATCAGTCGACCGGTAACGTGCACTAGTAGTCAAAAACACCTTCTGCGTCGATCGACTGACGCCAAGCCATTAGTTGACCAATAGCAGTTTTTCCAGTCTCTAGCACGTTTTTGAAAACCTGGTTTTGTGCTACGGTTATATATATATTAATATAATATATATATTATTATTATATATTATATATATATATATGGAAAAGTGAATCTAGGTGACACTTAGGCTCACACCTAAGACGCGGGCCTAGAATCACATCATTTCCTAAATTTTTTTTACGATCCGCCCTCAGTTGAACTTATCTACACGTTCTTTAAAACCCAAACACACCAATTTTGGGGTTGAACCCGCTTGTGTTTTGACCATTCGTTGAGCCATGCCAAAAAATTCTTTCATCGAAAACGTCTTAAACATTGCAGCGCGATGTGTGGATAAAGGTCAAAACATGACCGGGTTCACCCCCAAAATTGCCGTATGTTTGTTGTTAAGAACGTGCTTTAGATCAAGTTCAACGAAGCGGATCACAAAAAAATTTAGGAGTGATGTATTTTATGGCCGCGCTCCTTTAGGTGGGCAGCCTAGGGTGTCACCTTAGATTCACTTTTCCATATATATATATAATATATATATATATATATATATATATATATATATATATATATATATATATATATATATATTTATTATATATATACTATATATATATAATATATATTATATTAATATATATAATATATATATATATATACACTTTAACATATTTAGAGGAGAGGAATAATACACAAAAAGAGGGGTTTGAGAGTACTTTGAGATCAGAGATGTTAGAGAGAGAGTGGCCTTGCAAGCTTTGTAATCTTCTTCAATAATAAAAAAATTTCTGGTGTGGCTCCCGAGGACGTAGGCACGTTTGTCGAACCTCATTAAATATGGTGTTCTCTTTTATTTATTCTTTTCTACAAGTTTTTTGATTCGTTGTGATTTCTTACTTACTAATTGTTCGTCACAAGATCCGGAGGGCACGGGTTATCGATTGTTCAACCCCAACAACTGGTATCAGAGCTTCATTCGGCAAGTGTGAGAGCTATGGCAGAAAAAAGCAAATCGAAGATTGAGAAGTTTAATGGATCAAAATTTGCCTACTCAAAGTCGCAGATGGAGGACTATCTGTACTAGAAGGATCTTTACCGCCCATTGATGGGAAAAGCTAAGGGAAATAAAAAGGATGAGACCGACGAGGACTGAAAAATACTAGATCAGAAGGCTCTAGGGCAGATCCTGTTGTCGCTCGTAAAGTCAGTCACCTACAAAATATTAAAGGAGAAAACGATGGTGGGGCTTATAGAAGCACTCACAAAGATGTACGAGTAACCGTCAGCTGCAAACAATGTTCATCTCATCAAGACACTCTTCAACTTCAAGATGACAGAAGGATACTCTTTCACGTTGCATCTCAACAAGTTCAACACAATTGTTGATCAACTTATTTCCATCGACATTATATTTGATGATGAAGTGCAAGCCTTACTGATACTATCATAGTTGCCGGATAGTTGGCCAGGTTGCGTGACCGCAATTAGTGATGCGGCATAAACATGTACCAAAAAGGTTGCAAGTGCACAACCGTGTCAAGTTATAGTATTTAAGATATCGATCCTACGAGGAAGGTGTTTTGTAGGAGAAAATATGAAATCGGTTCTTATGTTGTGTGCGTGACAAATAGGAATGATAAGTGAATGTGATTGTGAAAAGATTGAGAGAGTGAAAATGATGTGTAAATAGGTGCAAAGTGTAAGTGATAGTGGATTTGAAAAAGAATGAGTATGATCAATAATGTGAGAAGGAAAAAAAAGAATAAAATCAAGAACAAAATAAAAAAATCAAGAATGAAGAACAAAATTCTAGAATAAAAGAAAATACAAGAAATTAAGATGGTGGATTCAATTATAGATATGGGTAATCTAAAATTGAACCTGCTTCTTAGAAAAGGATGATTCCCTAGAGGGTTCTAGCCTAAAGGCGAATCAAACAAAATAAAAATAAATAAAAAGAAAAACTAAACCCAAGAGGGTTCTAACCTCAAGGTGAATAGTATAAGAAATTAAAATCTAACTACAAAATAAATTATAAAATCTAAACTACAAAATAAAATTGCAAGAATTAAATTTAAGAAAATAAATCTATTCTATAAGCATGAAATAAATCTAAGGCAAGAGGGTTCTAGCCTCTTGGCTATTTAACAAAAAAAAATAAAATCTAAACTACAAGCATAGAAATAAATCTACACTAATAAGCAATAAAAGAGGAAAAGAAAGAAATGCAAACCTTCAAATAATTCTCCATCGTCATCTCCATCTTCATCATCCAATAAAGAGAAGAAGAGAAAAATTTAAAGTGGTAAAAAAATTATTATTATTAATTGCAACTAAAGTTACAATTTTGGAAGGCCTTCTCAATTAAGAGTAGCCCTCCTCTCCAAAAGGAGTTACAAAAATTTTCACACCTTTAACCCCTCACTCACTACCCCTATTTATAGTAATCTTCAATGAATATGAGCCATTGGATTTGTCTTGAGCCCCAAGCAACAATCTCCACCTTTGAATTTGCTTTTTGGTTCTTCTTTAGCCCATATGATTTGCCAGCATCGATGCCCACATCGATGCCGACATCGATGCTCACTATTTCCAAATTCTGATTTCACGGATAGCTTCGTCTCGTCGAGATAGGCGATTTTCATATATTATATGTTAAATTCCGCCTTCCGGATTAGGAGATATCGTCGTTTCTTTGTGGCCAACCATTTTGAATATGATTTCTTTTCATATTGGCTTTTTGATTTTCTCCGGCTTCTACAGGCTACACGACTTCATTCTGGGCTTTTGGATAATTTGGAAATTGATTTTCCAATGTGCTTCTTTGCTTCATTTCTTCATTTAATCAATGGGTTTTTGTTGAGAGATGAGAGTTTGAGATTTATTCTTCATTAACCTGCAATTAAAAGATAAAAACAATTATTAGTGGTATATTTATTCATATAAAATAGATAATGAGGGTATAAAACTATAATAAAATATGATTATCAAATACCCCCACACCTAAACTTTTGCTAGTCCTCTAGCAAAGAAAATAAAAAGAAAATCCTAACTCACTTTCGCAGGAATCGCGGTTGTATTTAGCGCATACAACAAGCCTTTAAACCCCTAGGTTACCCTAGTGGACGAGTTGTAGTCTCGTGAGGGTTTGCAGTGAATATACCCACAAAATTCGGTCAACTTGCCAAATTAAAGAAGTCAGTAAATAACTAAATTCACTTGATAACTTTTAGATAATCTAATTGGAGCCAGTTATCACTCAAGAAAACATTTTTATATATAACTCTAAGGTATATTTTTAAGAAAATCTTCTCATTGTAGCAATACAAAACCAAGCCAAACTTAGAAATTTAATTTAAAAGTTTTGAAAAGAACATGCTAACTCTTTGTTTTAAATAATTTTCAAGTTGCTTGATTTAAAATATTTTCCAAGACCATATATACAACTATAAAACATTTATTAGTTTTTTTTAACTCTTTCTTCCTTGGTGATTTTTTCTACTTTAACGGGCTTTCTAAGTGACCATTTAACGAGTTTTGGGCCAATGGATCCCAACCCAAATGGGCTTAGGTCATTAAGTATGGAAATACTCCTTGGGCTTAATTACTCGGTCAGCTTAGGCTTTATAAGATAGAATCACCTTGAATTAAAGAGTTTTTTTTCTTTTTGGTGCCCATTTTTCGCACTCTTCTTTTGCAATTTTTTTTTGTATATGTATATATATTTTGAAAATATGTAAATCAAGACACTTTGAAAAAAATTATT